TTTTGTCATCTCAGAAATATGTATAACTGCTTGACAAAGAGTATATTATCACATGTTTGGCCTGATAACATTTATTCATTTCAACAGAGAACAACATTTTGCTACAAATGCAAGATTGTCTCAGCATGGTACCCACTCATAATACAGCAAGAAAGATCAACTATGCCATCAGAGCCACAAATGGCTGGAAGTTTAGATATATGTGATTCGGAACAAAGTTTATTTGATTGAGATTGAAGCAATGAATATTCTAATGCCAATTTGCACTTTCACAAATAACATTAATGACGTGGTGGTGGAATGTTCATTAAAAGAATTTTGTATTGGAAGACTGAAGGGATTTGGGTCAGAGGCTACAACAAAGCATACAAACTATATTTTTAAAATGTCTGAACAATTTCCAATAAATTATTTGTGGAAGACACAGTGTACAAGCCCGTCAGGCAGATCAATTCATGAAGTTGTAAGAGGATGGGTGTTCAAATTAAGATATTCACTGTGGGCTTTGCAAACAACAGTGAATGAAAGGTCATGAGCTATATGCAGGAACTTTTGACAATTGATCATTATGAAGCCGAGCACTTTTTGCCTTACATTATCACAAGTGCAGAGATACAGGTCTACAAATGTAACCCAAATCAAGCAACACTCCAAAGAATGGCACCAAAACACCATAGCAAAAGAAGTTCAGAAGACAGCATGCTGGAGGTAAAGTTTGGCACTGATGCCTTGTTTTCAAAACATTAATAAAATGCCACATTTAAAGCTTCTCTTAATCAAAGCATGGATGAGACTTGTTTTTCATGAAACCACCTGGCCTTAGTTAAGACTATTGTAAATGTGGTATAACCATTATAAGCTTAAATCTTGAACATCCATGAATGTTTCATAATGTAACATTTACTGTACTTTTTCTTTGTGAAAAACAAGACCTGGGACTGCTCACCACACCTACCAGACATGCTCTGAAACCAGTACAAATGGCAGACTAGAGGGAAATGGAAGGACATTTGTCAGGAGATCGTGTGCCCCTAACCTAATCATGCTATAGAGATTCCAAAGACAGTGACCATCCTATGCCAAATTGGCAACAGCTCTGTTTCCAGTGCCTTGGATTGCTTTCCATGCAACTAAGATTATACTCTTGACTGATCCAGCAACTGTAACTTGTGAGAGGAGCCTATCCAGTTTCCCCACCCTCAGAAAATGATATTTGTATTTGTTTACAATTAACAAAGGGTCACACCCTTACACCACAACTCTTCTGTAACCTGCTCAAAGAT